GTAGAAAGGATATAAAAATAGCCAGGGAAATGAGGGATTTTCGGAGAAGAAGGTAACACCGTAGATCTTCAGAGAAAAAGAAGATAACACTGCGAGCAAGTCAAGGGAAAATCCACCTCAGACTGCCTCCAACAACCAGGATCGGCCGATGGGCCGGGTATTATTTATAACATTTTCATGCGTTTTATACTTAATAACATCATATTTGCACGTGCTTTCTTGCAGACAGTCACTATCACCAGCAATTCAAAAAACCTCTATACCTGTTTCACAAATAAAACTGCCCTGTTTCAGTAGCCAGTTGTCACAGTTTCTCACTGAACGTGATCAAACGCGGCCGTGCCAGTTCATGAGCACGACTGGACTGAAGGTGCAGACTGCTATTAGTGTATCCAGAATCGTGGTAGTCTAATGTACATATTAAACACAACTGGACTGGTAGTGGTAAATTGGACATCACTTACAATTTAAACCTAGCTGCACCTCGCCTCCCACTCCGGTGAGGAGAGTTAGAGCACAAGGGGGTTTATTTTCTGCCATATTCCTCCATCCCTTTCAACGCAACACCCTACAAATATTCACAGTAAGGTTGGATGGAGCTCTGAGTAATTTGGTCTAGTTGAAGACGTCCCTGCCCACTGCAGGGGGATAGGGCTAGATGACCCCTGAAGGTCCCTTCCAACCCTAAGCGTTCTATGATGATACTGTGATTCTATTACAGAGATATATCACATCAGAATAGATGTGCTGTCTTTCCAAACACATGGCAAAGCCTCTGAGTCAAACAGGCTGGGTTCAAGCCTCTAGGGAAGTCGAGTGGATGTAGACATTACAGAACAAAAAGGATTATCTTGAATAAATAACCACAGCGGAAGAGTTTCCAAAGAGTTTGAAATGACTTGTGAAGAGACGTTGGCAGCTTATCGCTGCTGAGAGACGAGTGAATGGATCAGCTTCCTCAGTGTGTCCTTGAGCTCTTGGTTCCTCATGCTGTAGATGAGCGGGTTCACAGCTGAAGGCACCACCAAGTACAGAATTGACACCACCAGATCCAGCGATGGGGAGGAGATGGAGGGAGGTTTCAAGTGGGCAAATATGACTGTGCTAACAAACAGGGAGACAACAACCAGGTGAGGAAGACACACTGAGGTGACTTTGTGCCGTCCCTGCTCAGAACGGATCCTCAGCACAGCCCTGAAGATCTGCACATAGGACACCACAATGAAAACAAAACAACCAAAGACTAAACAGGCACTAATCACAATAAGTCCAACTTCCCTGAGGTAGTCTGAGTCTGAGCAGGAGAGCTTGAGGATGTGGGGAAGTTCACAGAAGAACTGGTCCACAACATTGCCCTGGCAGAGTGGTAGTGAGAATGTATTGGCAGTGTGCAGCAGAGCATAGAGAAACCCACTGCCCCAGGCAGCTGCTGCCATGTGGTCACAAGCGCTGCTGTTCAGGAGGGTCCCATAGTGCAGGGGTTTGCAGATGGCCGTATACCAGTCATAGGCCATGACAGTGAGGAAAGCATACTCAGCGGAGATCAAGAAAACGATAAAAAAGACTTGTGCAGCACATCCCAAGTAGGAGATGGCACTTCTGTCCCACAGGGAATTGG